GCACTTGTGTCGTTCGTCTTGGTTGTACCGGCCGATACTACTCCTTAGGTGGTATGAAATGATGGATTCCATTTCATTCTCCACGGTCTAACGCGAATACCTCCTCTAGCACTGGATGTAAAGAGCGGATGTGTAAAAAATATGATAATGGAGCATTGGAGGGAGAATGGTAGATATTAGCTGGTGATGGAGGTTGTTGTGGCGTGGGCGGTTTGCAAGTTTTTGTTGCCGGTAAGGATTGGGGTTAGTTTGTGGGGGACGCCTTGGTTGGCCAGGGGGATTGGGAGGTGGGGGGGGGTTTTCAAGAGGGGGGGTTGAGGGAGGATGGATTGGGATGTTGTTTGCTTTTAGACGGTCACACGGGTGGGCAAGGTGAAGGGTTAGGTAAAGTCCATTGCTTTTCTCCACCAGGTGGTTATGCCGCGGGATTCCATGGCTGAGGCAAAGTCGTTGATTGCGGAGAGTTCAAAGAGGCCGGTGGGTTCTTGGGATTGGTTTTCGGGGGATAGTGTAAGGGATGGTTTGGAGGCTAGGTGGAAGTCTTTGTAGCGGAGTCTCTTGGGTATTGATGAGTTGGTGGGTTAGAAGAGAAGGGGAATAAGGGGGCTTACCTGGACAGTTCCCACCCAGGACTTCACACCTTGTTCGCTGCCTTTGCAGTACATGATGCCTGGGCAACCACCGCTTCGGAGGAGAGCATAGACCTCGAACTCACGAGCTGCTTTACGGAGGTGGGCAACCTTTTTGCGGGAGGTGATGTGGTGAGTTCGGATCAAGGCATGGTAGAACGGGGTCATCATCTTGACCTGATATCATCCACCTGATCTCTTGAGGAGTAGTTGTTGAAAGGGTTGCCCTGGTCGTGAAGGTTGAAGGTGGACAGTGCTTGAATGATACCAGTGCCAGTTCATACGGTCTTTGGGTGAGCAAGTGAACATAGACATACAGTACGAACTACGTCATACCAACTCTCTCACACGGTTCTCTTTCACGTCTTCACGTGCCCACGTGCCGCATGCCAAGCCATTCATCCAGTTGTTCAACCAACGCGACTCGTGCCTAACCCTCCCTCTGTTCGAGTTGTGACAGAAGTGAATTAGGACAGACAATTGGAGCCTGTCAGGGCTGAGCAACCTGCTCTCGATCCTTCTGCTTCTGCCTACTTGAGGGAGAACTTCAAGGACATAGCTCCAGCGACTCGACGACTGGCGTGTTGTTTACTAACAAATAAACAAACAACTGATTCGATACATGTCATTCCGACTTCACTTCAGCATGATACTTACCACCTCCTACCTATAAATGTATACATCCTTTGTTACCGGCCATTTTGAAGGTCCAGGACGGCATCGCTGTTGCCGGGGCTATCCTGAATAAACAGAGGAGGGAACGGACAGTAACTGGGAGAAATGAGCTGGCGCAGCATCTCAAGCCGAGGTTGGGAGTCAAGATTGGCAGGCAGACGTGGATCAAAGGGAGGAGTATAAAGCACTGCTTGGACATGGTGCACGGGAGGATTAGCTGTGAGGAGAAAGCTGGATGGCGAATACTGCCAGATTCACATTGACCTCAGCAAGGGGAAGGATTGCACACAGATCTTCTCGAAGAGCGGAAAAGACTCCACGCGGGATCGCTCTAAGCTGCATAAGTAAGTTGTCGTTTTGTAGAGTTCAACATGGGCTAACATGAACGACAGTGCCATCGGGGATTCCCTACAAATAGGCCAGCCAACATGCCCTATCACAAAGGGGTGCATCTTGGAAGGGGAACTTGCCGTTTACAGTGGCAAGGTAGGTTTGCTTCCGTGCTTACACACACATCATTACTAACATTTCGCAGGAACATAGAATTCTCAACTTTCAGAAGATCAGAAAGCACATTTTCAGATCTGGGACCTTCATTGGAACTGCACAGGATTCACAGTATGCTTCTCACCGACCTCCTCTTTGTCGGGGTTTGTGCTGACATTTGTAGGGCACATTCCTGGGAACACCTCATGATTGTCTACTATGACGTCCGCATGCTTGACGACACACCATTACTTTCAGTCAAAATTCAGAGAGGTTCCAAAAGCTCAAGGAAATCATTACGATCATCCCAAGCCACTCGGCCCTGGTCAAACGGATTCTTATCGACTGTGACAGGCGTACAGCCAAATCGGACCTGCGCCGTGCTTTTGCCGAGTGTATCACGGCCAAGGGAGAGGGGCTTGTCCTCAAGTCAGATGACCCCTACTTCGACTTTGACAGCATGCGAAGACCCTATAGATGCTGTGCCATCAAGCTAAAGAAAGAATACATCGGCAACTTTGGAGACATTGGGGCCTTGGCAATAGTTGGCGCCCGGTATGACGCTTCAAAAGCCAGAACCTACAACATTCCTCACCTCAAGTGGGCACACTTCTATGTGGGTTGCTTGGAAAAACAGGGAGGAGGTTGGACGGTTTGGCAAAAAGCCAAAGTTTGTGGTGACCAACGTGGTTGAACTCGATACAACACAACTGGCCACGATGGTGGCTTATGCCAACCCGGAATGCGTATTGGTGGATGACAACTGTCCCATTGACTTGCGGACCGAGCCAGGCATCGATGAGGGGCGACGACCGGTTTTTATTTTCCCCACGCTACCCGTCGTGGACCTCCGCTGTTTTTCTTTTGACAAAGAGGGGAACACTGGTTTCTGGAGCCCATGGTTTCCTGTCGCCACCAAAGTACACTGGGACAGAACCTTCCACGACACAATCTCTTTTCAACAGCTGCAGGAATTAGCAGAAGAGGCCAGGAACATGACAGCCCCTGAGTACACTCAAGAGATTCTCACTTGGATCGCCAATCTTCAAGGGAATCGAGTCTTCGAGCCAGTCCACCGCAACCACCTCTCAGCGGTCCTTGGTATCGTCTCGGAACACCATGTCCCCTGGCCCCCGGGGTGATGTCTCGCCTCGAGTTGACCGCCGCGTCCCAATCGGCGCTGCCACTTTGAGCCCCCCCTTGTCTTTGTCAGCCTCATAGACTGCAGGCCGTTCCCAGGGGTATGATAGTGCAGCAGGTAAGAACATGAACCATAGTCGAAATGATTGGTTTCTAACAGTGTTCAGACGAAGGCATCGACCGCGACCGCGACCGTGATGTACTCTCCGAGGACGCTCACGACGAGAATACTTGGCAAAATCGGACACGATCAATTGAGGCCTCATGCGGGCTATCATCCTTTTCAGTCCTGCTGTCTCCTTGCATAGCCAACTTTCCGTATGTTGGAGATTTACTCAGAAGCCATGGAATCCATGAGCCTGTCATAGATGCCAATAGCTGGAAGGAAAAACGGTTCGCCTCGACGAAAAGACTGGCGTTGGTTGAGCCCCAGCGACGTGAGGCTACTCAGGCCTTTTTTGACGCCATTACATCGCTCGAGTTGAGGAAACGAGGCTTGGATGAGCATGAGTATATCCCCATCTTTGATTGGAGGGTGTTGGAGAGGTTGGAGACGGAGGAGGCCAAGAAGGGGATGGAGGCGAGGGGAGAAGGATGAGAGGTTTGCTGTTGCTATATTATGGAGAAGGGGAGGTTTGGGGAGATTTGGGACAGGTTTTTGCAGGGGTTTGTTTGAGTGTTTGTTTTTGGGGGATGGATCAGGGGCATGGACATACCCAGGAGGCATGGATAGATGATGAGTTTTGTAGAATACGGGTTGCATGATGGCCAATGGAGATTACAACGGCGGATTGCCTGAGTTAAGCAGCTTTTATGCATATATCTGTGTTGCAATGAAATGTTCGCCGTTAAAAAGTAAAACTGCCGTGGGTGAGGCTGAAAGTGGAAGCCCACCCTCAAGCATTAAAGTGGGGCCAGCTAGGCAAGGCTGAAATTCTGGGAAATTCAACAAGCTCCACCGCGCCAACTGCGACGCTTGCTTGTTCAACGCGACAAGCTTCCCATTGACGACAATTCACCACCACCACCGATATTCGCAACGACCAAATCTGACTATTTCCACCTCTGCCTGTCGCGCACTTACTATCACATCGAACCAAACGCCATATCAAAACCAAAAATGACCTCCACAATCGGCATCCCCATCAAACTCCTCAACGAGGCCCAAGTCAGTTCTTCCCCTCCTCCCCCCTTCCCAATCATCATGCTAATCTGTCTGTTTGGGTAGGGCCACATCGTAACACTGGAAATAACCTCCGGCCAAACCTACCGCGGCAAGCTCATCGAGGCAGAGGACAACATGAACGTCCAGCTCAAGGACATCACCGTCACGGCCCGCGACGGCCGCGTCTCCCACCTCGAGCAGGTCTACATCCGGGGATCTCACGTCCGGTTCTTCATCGTGCCCGACATGCTCCGCAACGCGCCCATGTTCAGGAGCAGGAACGTCAGGGGGAGGGGTGTCGGGTTGGCGAGGGGGAGGGCGACGGTTAGTAGGGCTAGGGCGAGCGGGGGGCCGCCTAGGGGGGGGAGGTAAAAACTGGGAACGCGATGGGAAGAAGAGATATGGAAGGGGAGAAAGATTCGCGTGTGGCTGGGTTTATGGATGGATTGTTTGGTTTGGCGTTTAGGGACTTTTTTTAAAACATGGACAGCGGAGAAGACAGAAAATGAAAGATGTTATGGCGCGGATTTAAAACATATCATACAGCAGTACTATATACATCTCATTTTAGCGTCCCTCCAGGCATCAACCCTCTTTAGCCAGGCAATCCCCTGCCCCTCACCCTCAATCTCATCCCCGATCTTTCACAACCTCCTCAAAACCTCGTCCGCCTCCTCCAACACCTCCCTCACCCTCTCCCCCCTCCCGCCACCCACCCCTTCCGTCTTCACCCCCCTAAACAAAACATCCCCCACCCCCCTCGCCACCTGCCCCTCCACCCTCTTCACCGCCTTCCTCCCCTCCTCCCTCACCTCCTCCTCCCAATACCCCCTCGCCTCATCCCACCTCTTCTGCATCCTCTTCAACGCCACCACCAACCCCAACGCAGCAATAGCACCACACTCATACGCCCCAAACCCACTAAAGTACACCAACCCCGCCAGCACCGAGCCCAACCCCGTCAAACTAGCCGATTGGACGACCAGCTTCTGCGCCAACGCCTGCAAGGCAGGGACCGTAGTCTCAAGCAGATACTGTCTCGTGGACGTGATTTGAACAGGCCATTTCCCATGGTGTTCCATCTCAACCGCAGTCGGCCCCGGTGTCGAGACCAGCTTCTCTTCCGGGTCGACAGGATAGCTTATCGCGGGGCTGATGGTGGGAAATGAAGCAGCTACTTTACCAGCTAGGTAGACCACTTCCTGCTCTGCCCTCGGCAAAAAATAAGACGTCACCAGCTCCGACGTGTTGAGCGTGACATCATCCGCTCTCCAAAACAGTTTCCACCAACTAAGGCTGCGCCAGAGGTGGTTGGAAAAAGCAGAGTCAAGCCGACTCTGCAGTTCCTCGTGGGCCGACTGCGCCCAAGAGACAATCTCCTGGTCGAGGCGCCTGATAGTTGCTTCGATTTCGACGAGATTGGCCTGGTTATGCTGGGAGAGTTGCTGTTGTCTTTCTTGCTGTTCAAGGCCCTCTTTAGCTCGGGAAAGAATAGACCCGATGAGGTGCTGGACTGGGGGCTTGATCTTGTCGGTTGCTTCCGTGTTGGCTCTGAGCCAGTCGCGGATCTGCTTGACGTTGCCTTCTGTCCAGAGCTCGCTGAAGACTTCTGCTCTGCCGGCGCGGAGGGCGTCAAGGCCTTCGATGGCGGCGAAGGAGTCGACTGCGAAGAAGGGGAGGCTGCTGTTGGGGTCGAGGAGGCCGTGGGGTTGTGATGGGGAATAGGCGTAGTTTTGTGATTGAATTTCGAGCTCTTCCTTGACCGCGGTCCCGGATTTGAGGTTTACTGCGGTTTTGATCACAGAGGAAGGGTTGGACTTGGCGAGTTCGAGAGCGTTGAGCGCGCCTCTGAGACCATTGCCTACTAATAACGTCATGTGTACTGCTGAGGGGACCAGAGTTGTTTGCGGTGTTGATATCACTGCGGTGGGCTTGGTTGTTTGTACGCCAGGTACAAGAAGCTCTGCCTCCAACTCCTCTGCGGTTTTGGTTGCTTGCGGCCTGAACTTTGCCAACAACAGCTCGAGGTTATTCCGGCCCAACGTTGGTGAGTAGGCCGTGATCTCTGGAAATGTTGTCGGCACTTGGGTGTCCGGTGCTGCTGTCCCCTTCTCAGATGCCTTTACCCGCACAATCAAAGGTTCCTCTGCCAAATTGTGGCGTTCCAGCTGTGTCTCCCATGCCGCCTGTTCTCCAAGCTCGTCGGCGAGGGCAGCCCGTAATAAACTCTTTGAAGCCTCTGTGTTCTCGTGTCCATTCTCTCTAACCGGGTTGAGTATCGCAACACGTATTGACTCTTGTCCCGGTGGCTCCGACAAATTGCGCAAGGCGAGGTTCAAACGTTCGCTCTTGACGTATTCGGGGATCTGTATTTGAAGCTCTCGAAGCAGACGAGCTAGTTTCGCGCGGGGTGGTTCAACCGCTTGCTGTTCTTGCATTTGTGTCGCAGACGGTATCAAGGTCTCGGTCGTATGGAAACTGCGTGCGCCACCGGCCAGCAATCTGGTATTCTGTTCTCGCAATGGCAACGGTCGTCGTCTCGTAGTAGTAGTGAGGGGTCGTGTAGACAAGGAACAAAACAGGCATATCGACGACGTCCTCGTTCTCCCCCAGGATAATAATCCCTGATTCTTCCCCGCTATCTCTCCCCCCAGCGCCCGTTTAAGCGCCAATGTCGGCGCCATGGCAAATTGTCGTCGCCAGAATTCCGTAGGTGATGATGTCCACCTCAAAATCGCGAATTATCACAACGGCCAAAATGCCGAGCTACGTAAGGTCGAGGTCAGGTTCAGGCTAGCTCCCCCCGGCCCGCCCCAAAACTTTAGCGTGATTTTTGCCGGCTCTTTCCGGCAGTTTCCCTGCCAAGCCGGCCCCCCAAACCCCACCCCCCCAAACCACCCCCAGACTTTTGGGGAAGCTTTCAAAGCCAGGTAACCCCCTGTCCATCAACCACCACCATCACCAACGCCACCTTTGTATTTCCTCCCCCCCCTAAACATTCACGTTAACACGAACAACAACAACAACAACAACAGCATCCTACGATTCACCACCTAAACCACGAGCGCGTCGTAGTATCCCCCCCCCCCTCAGTAGACCTGCCCCCAACCAGAAAATGGCAACCTCCACCGCCCACCGCCGCCTCCTCCAAGAATACCGCGCCCTAACCAACAACCCCCCCGAAGGCATCACCGCCGGCCCCGTAACAGAAGACGACCTCCTCCACTGGGAAGCGCTAATCCAAGGCCCCGAAGGAACCCCCTTCGAAGGAGGTGTCTTTGCCGCCGAGTTAAAATTTCCGAGGGATTACCCCCTCGCGCCACCAACGATGAAATTTCTTTGTGATGTTTGGCATCCTAATGGTAGCCCTCCCCCCTCCCCGAATAAGATAGTATTGGACTGATGATATTGATGGAATAGTCTACCCCTCCGGCATGGTCTGCATCTCAATCCTGCACCCCCCCGGCGACGACCCGAACCACTACGAGCACGCGAGCGAGCGCTGGTCCCCGATCCAGAGCGTGGAAAAGATCTTGATTAGCGTCATGAGCATGCTTGCTGAGCCGAACGATGAGAGCCCGGCGAATGTGGAGGCTGCGAAGATGTGGAGGGAGAGGAGGGGGGAGTATGAAGAGAGGGTGAGGGAGGGGGTGAGGAAGAGTTTGGGGTTGTGATGAGATGGGAAGATATGGACTTTGGTTTGAGTTGGGTTGGTTTGATGTTATAAGCATGGCACTGGTTTTGGTGTTTATATGGCGTGGGGTGGGGGGGGGGGTTGGGTTTTAAAATCTACTGGTTATAATAGCGGCATGGGAAGGGGAGAGTGATACATAGCGGATGGGAGTATCATGTGTTTTTTGTTCTTTTTGCAAATCTACCCACCTGGTCAGGTCTGGGGTTGGCACATGGTGTGTTGCTCTTCTCCCAACACCGTTGGCCAAGGGGACTGCTCTTGCTCCTGCCTTGCTTTTTATAGGTCAGGGTTCTGGAGCACCTAGTATCTGAGAGTAAAGGAGTGCTCCAGACTGGATGGCGCATCGGTCAACCGCGACAGAACGTGGATTCCTTCGCACCGCCGGTTTGGGTCACTCTGATCTCTCGGAAACTAACTCCCATCCAGTGAGGCCTTGAGCTGGAATGCCTTAGTTGACGGATCGATTCCTTTTGAGGTTCAATTTTTTGTGGTTTTCCTCTAGCCAACACTATCATCCACGACTTCCGCGAGTTTGGTCAAGACCAACCCATACGCAACATGCATGATCTTCTATTCCATTTCTTTTACTCTACGCCTCCCTGAAGAACCAACTCCATGCTTTACTCCCAATAACTCCCAATAACTACTACAGCTTATTCTCCGCCTTGAACTTATCCCACGCCTCATTCAGCGTGCTAAACACCGTCCCGGCAATCATCCTAACCTCCGTCGTCGCGTCTTGTGCAATCTATTCCCGATCACGTTAGCCAACCATCTCCACGTTGCCTCATCCAAGAAAAAAAAAATCGTACCTTATCAGGATGCGTCTTAGCAATAGCCTTCATGTAAACAACCTTGACTTTGTTCGCCATCACCAGCTCATGCAACCCAACCTTCTTCCACCCGCTCCCCTCCCATAGCACACCATCCAAGCTCGTGAGCAACGCCCGCAAGTTATCCCTCTTGCCATCCCTCCACGCCGCGATCCTCGCATCGACTTTATCAGCCAGCTGGAACTTCTCATCCCCTTCCTTCTCAGCAGCTTGATTCGCCTCCCGCAGTCTCCTCACCGCCTCGGCGCTTTTATGACCGGTAGCAGCCGCTGGTCTCGGACGAGCTGGGGCAGAAGCCGGTCTCGGAGCGGGTTTCGGCGCAAGCGCCTTCTGGCAGCGTTGCCTCCCCGCCGCGGCGGTGGCACCACCAAGACCAGCCTCAACACACGTCTGCCAGACGGCGAGGGCGTCAGCCCACTTCTCCATCTGCTCGAGAGCTTCCGCTTTGCGGGTGAGGGCCTTGCCGTACAGCTCGCGCATGTCTCTTTTTTCGGTGGTGCCGGTTTCGCTTTGGACCTCGACGTGCTCGCCCTCGCCCCTGCCCGGGCCAATGAGCTTGACGGCGTTGTCGGCGTCCTCGACCGCCTGGCGGGGTTCGCCGGTTTTGAGGGCCGTGAGGGAGCGGTTGCAGAGCAGGAGGATGGCGAGGGGGTGTTCTTTTGGAATGGCGGCGAGAGAGGAGGCGTATGAAGCGTGGGCGGATGCGTAGTCGCCGCGCTTGAAGTGGGCGGTGCCTTGGAGACGGTGTTGGGTGGAGGACTGGAGGGCGATTGCTGATAGTGGAGGGATCTGACGTGGCGGGCGAGCAGGGGCTGGCTTGGGCATTGGTGATGAACGGGCTGCTGCTGGACGAGGGGCGGGTGACGGTTGAGGTGATCGAGATGGAGCTGTGGGTCGCGGCTTTGGTGCTGAGGAGGCACCAAACAGCAGGTCTTCTTCCGGCTGCGCCGGTGGTGGCTGTGGCTGTGGTGTCGTCTTCTTCCTGCGTGCTGGACTGACATAGGCTTGAGCACCCTCGTCCTCGGCCGCAAGCCTGCCAAGTTTGGCACGTGGATCGAGAACTGGCCGGGAGCCTTGCTGCCACTTTGGTCCTTGGGCACCCGATCCAGGCCGGACCGGGAGGGCTGGAGATCTGTCACGCGATGGCGCGTTGCTGGATGGTCGACTGTCGACACCGGATCTTCCTGTTTTCCTCGGGGGCGGCCCGCCACCTTCCAACATCACGGCTTCATTCGTGACGTCGGGCGGCTCCCTCCTGGCGCTCCCTCCCGAATGATCCTGGGCAGACCGCATCCATTTCGGTTGATTCGGGTCACCATCTTGCTGAAGTTCGGCGACGGCTTTCTGTACCTTTTTCTGGCCTGTTTTCCAAAGGCTGTTGGCCGTCTTGAAAAGAGTGGTACCTACGGCAGCAGCAGTTTTCGCAAAGTCACTGTCCACCATGGAAGCGGGAGATTGGTTGTCTCTACTTCTTGAGGCGTGCTCCTCTCTTGCCCAAGCAGGACCACCATTCCGTGATTGACTAGAAGCGCGCTCGCCACCGCCTCTGGAGGGCTGTTCTCGCGAGCCGCTTTGTCCCTTTGACTTGGCCTGCTCCTTGGCCTGGCGGTGGGCATCGTCCAGAAGCCAGTTTACAGCTGCTTGAACATTGAGCCCAGCCCCACTTTCAGTAAGCCCCCTTCTGGCATTTTCAGGGGTAAATCCGTAGTCCACCAGCTGAGCAACCGCTCTGTCAAAAGGGTCATCTGATGGTCTGGATGGTCTCGAGGGTTGTGGCGGCGGTGGTGGTCGGTCATCCTCAGAATCCGAAGATGAATCTTCAATGGCCTTTCCGGGTTCGGGCTCTCGCGAGAATGTCGGAGCTGGAGTTGGCTTCTTTTTGACCTGATCCACTGGCTTACCCAGATCCCCCAGAATGTCAAAGTCATCACCGGCAGGAGGTGGGGGCGCTGGGGTGCTTGATTTGGGCTTGAGCTGGTTCAGCCCAAACGGGTCGTCGTCGTCGTCGTCACCAAATCCTCCAGAAGTGGGAGCCACAGCTGCTGGCTTACCCCACGCACTTGGATTGCTCAAGTCCAAGTCTGGCGCGGGCGAAGGAGTATGGGAAGCGGGTGGTGGGTAGTGGCTCGAGTTATCGACCTTGGTGCTGGCATTGAATGCTGCAAACAAATCCTCATCTCCCTCTGATATGTCTGTTCCCTTTCGTAATCCAGATTGTACGGTCGGTGTCCCTATTTGTGGCGGTGGAGCTAGCCCTGGTGAAGGTGTCCTCAAAGAGCTCTGGGATCCAGAGAGGTTCCGTCCCAGCGAGTCCAAGAAACGTCCATCCCCAAAGCTCGACTGGGCTTGTTTCCTTCTCTCCTCCTCCTTTCGGCGCTTCTCTGCCTCCAACTGTTCCTGCCGTTCCTTCAAGCTCAGGTTCGCGTTACTCTTGGCAGGGCCAAAGTTGAGGAGGTTGCTGAAGCTGTCCTGCGCGGGCTTGGCGGTGGGAGGTCTGGCGCCAGCATTTCCGGACTCCTGGACTGACAGCGGCGTGTTGCGCCCCGAGTTGAAGGGCGAAGGAGTCGGGCGCAGCGAAGGGTAGAGGTTGGAGGTCGTGGGGTTCGAGATCGGCGTCGGTTGTTGCGCGGGCTTCTTCCCGGCATCGGGAGCTGTCCAGGTCAGGTCGACGAGATCATCCATCGTACAAAGTGATTTCGGAGGCGGTCACGGCATCTGGCGTAGTTGGTGAATGACTGCTTGGATCTTGAACAGGGCACACAAAGAGACAACACGTAGTTTGTTTATCGTGAACCATGCAACAAGCAAGCAATGTATGTTGTAGTTGATGCGCCACACCACCATCAATCAATCGGCCCCTATGGAACACGCATCGCCTGAACTCATCCCTGAATGCATGCCACCTGGCTGACCCTGCGTGACCCCGCTAGCTAGCCAGCGTGCCAGCCAGCGTGCCAGCCTTGGGCGCTGAAGGGGCAGCAATAAGGTGCGGCGCAAATGTGGGGTCCCGTAAAGGCAAGTCGGCCCACCAGCCACACCTCACCACCGACGTCAAACTCCGAAGAGACTGTGCACGGTTCACCTGGCTTTCAGGGGAAGAAGAAGGGGTTCAGATGCCAAGACGAGGAGGGTGTGGTCTGGTTGCTTTGCAGAGTGCAAAGACGGGGAATCGTGCCTCGCATATTTTCAATATCAGATATCACCATAAATAAACACCGTCATCCGAACAGCCAGCAGCGAAGCTTTAGTGATCAACTAACTGCCTGTCTTCTTGGTGTGGCACTAGGAATAGATTTGGATGAAGGCATCGCAGACCATCACACCATCCAACATCAGGCTCGTACTCACACATCATTACACTCGCACTTGCACATCCACCGCCGATGTCTACAACCAACCTTTATCAACACGTGATCACACTTCCCACGGGCAACTGCGTCAATGTTGATGCGATGCGATGTGATGTGATGTGATGCCACCGCTGCTGAGGAATTTATGAGCTCTTTTTTCTTGTTGGACCAAGGAACCCGGGAGAGCTCGATGAACGGTTGATCCCAGTGATCTCCTAGCTGATCCTCAGCACACGGGAGCGAAATTCAAGGAGAGGGGAAACGGCAAATAACGAGCGGCAACACACGGCACGACCTGCTCTGTTTCACGGTCCACCATCCCACCAACGGCTGGGCTCATCAGCACCAAGAATTCCCTCTTTGGTAGCGCCGGCAAAGGGAAAGGTGAGCGAACATCAGAAAAGGGGAAACAGGATGCCATTTACGAGGAAATGGTGTTTCTTGGGATGTGCCGTTGAGCTCTGGGCAAAAAGACGCCATTTGGGCCTCTGATTGGTTGCAGGTGGGCGTTTGGGATCGGGTGAAAACCCTGGAATGACTTTTGGCGCAACGACAAGCTTGAAACTCGTTTCAGGAACCATGACCTCTCGTCATTGGCTTGACCCAAAGCCCCTCGCATTTTATCTGGCATTGCAGGGTCGGCAGGGCTCAAGGGTACCGGGATACCCCGCTTGATGCAACGGGGGAGAGCGCGCCACTGCGGCCACCAGCGACCAATGCGGCGGGCTTGCGGCGACTCTTTCATGCAACGGTCTTCCTACTAGGTGAGCACTGCTTCTCCTATCCATCAATCTGATACGAACACCGACACCGCTCACCTCACTTTTCACTGGACCATGCAGACTGACCAAAAACTGTTGTGACCAGGAGAGAGCGGTTCAACAGCGGCAGGCTAACGCAGGTACAGCACATGTGCTTCCAGGCTGTGTGAGATGGATGCAGCCAAGGTGCAAGGTGGGTGATGATGATGATTGCGGTGGAGTTGTTTGCGAGAGCAATGAGATTGGACGGCCCAGCGAGAGGGCAATTACAGCTTGTCCGACCCAGCATGCAGCCACCGGGACGCAGAGATAACACGTGTATCTGGTATACCTAGCAGTTCAAAGATCACAGGTGCTGCCGTCGTTTCTGCCCTGACCTCCCGTAACCTCACGACCCGAAATGAAGTGCTCGGTCTGTGGTATATCTTGTCTTGTCCAAGATGATATGATAGCTGAGCACTTTTTTGCTGTCTTGCTGCTTCCAGAAGGCGGCGGCATTTCCTCTACTCCTCCTACCAAGACCCCCAAGACTCTTAGCTCATTATCATGGGCCGTCTCTGTTAAACACAAACTTGATAATACCCAACTACAATTATTAGCAGCACATCCCATACCTTATGGTGACAGATCCTTGGAGCCAGGTTCACCAGCGTCCCCTTAATCCCAACTGTTAAGGTCTTGGTCACCCCCACCCGGCCAATCACAGACGGCCTTTTTGTGGCTGAGAGCCGCTTCGGGAAAGAGCGTCCTGCGTATACAGCAAGGGGTCCCTTCCCCTGTCCCGAATTCCAAGGCCCCCGTTTTCTTCAGCGGCTTGGGTTTTATCTTCAGCGTGGGCGCATGTCTTATCTGCCGTCCTCCCTTTGCGACAGCTCCCTTCTCTCGCCTTTTTGCGAACGAACCTCCAACCCGACCGAGTCTGTTGACCTGGATCTCCATCCATCCTCTCTCTCTCTTCCTCTCTCTCTCTCTCCCGCAACAACACTCCCACCCACCGCTCACGCTCACTTCCAACTTTCCCTTTGGGAAAACCACACTCATTTCAAATACTACTCATTCATTCATTCACATTTCATTTCTTTTTGTGTGTTGTTTTGCGGGCCTTTCGATTCTTGGTGCTCTTCGTATTTTCTGCGACTTACTTCCCCCCCACCACGACAACGACAACGACACAGTTTCCGACAATCTGATACAGAACCCAGCGCAGGTGCCTCCTCACGGTCAACTCGACGTCAGCGACTGCTTCCAGTAACCTCCAGAATTGAGGAGTGGAAATAGACGTCGTCACGGGCTTGCTCTGAATATCGGGTGGTTGGACTGCTGCGTGCCATTCCTGACAAACGACAACTCGCCTCGACTGGATCGAATTGGTATGTTACTCGAAAAAGGTCACTCAGTCAGTCATTGCATGACAGAGCCAACTTTCATTGGCCGCCATGCAATTTTTTCCATCAAAGCTGACCAGATATCTGTCTAGATTTGTCGAAACACCAGGATCGTTTTGTCGTCAAGTCCCCTTAGCATCTTGCCTCGAGGAGTTTCTGCAAGGACGGTACTTTCGGCAGCAACTTCTGAAAAGCATCAATTTTCGACCCTTCTCACACTCCTTAACATCGCAACTCTTTTTGTTTGCAATTCCACCAGAGTCATTCTTTTAAACCCAATCATCATGAAAGTCACAAACTCTCTCGCCGCGGTTCTCGCCTCCGCCGGCCTCTCTGAGGCCTTCTGGCGCATGGAGTGCCGTGGTCGCGCAGGCTTGGCCCGTTTGGATCCCATTGTCGCCCCTGGCAGGGTTTCTCAGCACGCCCATGCTATCTTTGGTTCCAGTGGTGAGTCTTGCCTGGCTATGCGATTTGAACGTTGAGACTTTGGCGGATGCAAGTAGCTAACGGGGTCAGTACAGGTTTCTCCATGAACTCGGGACACGCTGAGCTAGCTGCTGGCTCGTGCACCTCGTGCGCCGCTGTCGAGGACAAGTCGGCCTACTGGTCTCCCCAGATGTACTTCAAGCACGAGGATGGCACCTTTGAGGAGGTCACACAGGCGGGCGGTATGCTCGCATACTATCTCCTCAACAAGGACGCTGGCAATCCAGACAAGGGTGTCAAGGCCTTCCCCAACGGCTTCCGCATGGTTGCCGGCGACAGCAACCGCCGCAACTACTCTATCGGCAGCCGCAACTTCAAGGATGCCGATCCCGAGAAGTCTCTATGGGCCATGCTCGGCGAAACGAGCCAGGAGGATCTCGCCCAGCGTGCTGTCGGCTTCAACTGCCTCGACTACAATAAAACCCCCGAGGGTGCCTTGGTGCGCCACTATCTCCCCGAGAAGGGTTACCTCGATGGCAACTGCCCCGACGGCATCCGTTTGGAGCTCATGTTCCCTTCGTGCTGGAATGGCAAGGACTTGGACTCGGCCAACCACAAGTCTCACGTCGCATATCCCGACCTTATTACGGATGGGTGGTGCCCCAAGGGATTTGACACCAAGCTTCCCAGTCTGATGTTCGAAATCATCTACGAGACCAACAAGTTCAAGGGAATCCCTGGCGAGTTTGTCATGGCCAACGGTGATGCTCAGGGTATGTTTTGATGTTTTCCGAACTTGAACAAGTCACTGACAATTGTAGGTTTCGGTTTCCACGGTGACTTCGCCAGCGGCTGGGACGAGGAGTTCCTCCAGGATGCTGTCGAGACCTGCACTGACCCCAGCGGTTTGCTTTCGGCTTGCCCCTTGTTCAACCTTCAGAGCGAGGATGAGCAGCGCCAGTGCCAGATTGAGCTCCCCGAGGATCTCGTCAACGAGAAGGTCACTGGAAAGCGCGGCAAATCTCTTCCCGGAGATGTTCCTATCCGCTATGGGCCGGCTCCTGCTAATGTCCAGGCCCCAGGAGCGGACCAGACCAGCCATATTCCGGTTCCCACCGTCACCTACCAGCCTGCCGAGTCCTCTGCCTACCAACCCGGCGGTATCTTCAACGGCGACGCCCCCAGCTCCAACTCGAGCTCAAGCTCTGAGGAGGTCAAGGTCACTGCCCTTGCTCAGCCCGAGCCCGAGCCTGAGCCGACCCCTGCTCCCACCCCTACCCCCTCCGAGGCTCCCCTCCCCTCCGGCTACGAACTCGTTCGCACCGAGTATGTCACCAACGGCAAGGTTGTCAGCAAGATTGTCGTCATCGAGACCGTCGAGTACGTCATGCTGGCTGCTGCCACCGAGATTGAGACCGTCACCGTAACAGCCACTCTTGATGCCCAGAAGGCTCGCCGCGGGCTCAACCACCTCCACCGCCACAGGCACGCGGGATCGCACTAAAAAGGCGGGATTGATTTCTGCCTTGTAGTGTTATGATCCATGATCTACCAGCTGCACATATGGGTTATGGTCACATCTTTTTTCTATCTCGCCCAGTCTTTTTGAAGAACAGGACTTGCGGGGTGGCTTTTCTTCACTTCTCTTCACTGTGGATACTAGGGGATTATTTTGTGGTTGTGTTTTTCTGACATGGAACCTGGTATGGGGAAGGGGGGGTGGTGTGGGTTAAATGGGTGGAAAAATGGGAGCATTCAGCGAAGGCTTTTTTATTTTATCCAGCATTATGAAATGAAATTGAGGAAGTTTTCTTTTCTTATGAACTATTGCCTCTTGATGTCATGTTGTTATGTGAATTCCTTTTTGCTTAAACTTGAAGAAGCCTAACAACTGCCGGGTTGTTCTTATCCAAACCAGAGGCCTGCTGCAGGAGGAGGATATCTGCAATGCCGTTGGGGTAACACTTTATCACAAAAGCCTTTCTCAGAAGACTTTTTGTTACCAGAGTGTTCTTTATTAAATTAAACAAAAAAGATTAAAAATTAAAATATAAAAAAATATAAAAAAAACAAAGTAAAAAGAATAATAAAAAAAAAGGTGACTCTAACGTGTATCTCATTGCCATACATCATCAAACCACACCATGACAGTCAACCCCCCAACCCCCCCCCCCTACCTCCTCCTCCTTCCCCCCTCTCTTCCCTGAAGATCTGGCGCCAGACTCAGCTGCATGATCTCTGGTCACCCCCCTCAACCTCAAAGGCTCAAATAAAACCAACAAGTCAACAAACAATTGTTTATATCAACATCACTCTACCTACCTTACCTCCACCAACCCATCCCGACAAAAAAGAAATCCCACATTTCACTCATGTTTACCTCATTTCCCTCCCCCATTCCAGTGCCCATCTCGCCCCCATCAGTATGTCATGACGGCATGTCTCAACTCCCCCTCGGACCCCCCCCCCACCCAAGGCCTGGAATGGCGTTGCTCAGCACGACTACATTCCTCTCTCTTTTCTCTCCTCTCTGCCTGACCACCCGACACCCTTTACTTACCACCCCCGTCGCACCCACATACCA